GGGGAAATCTTCGCCGTGGCAAATGCACCAACGGCAGCAATGACAGCAAACTTGACCATGTTGTAGTGGTCAAAGAAGGAAAGTTGAGAAGTGATGGGGTTCAAACTGGAGATCCTGCTGATGTGCTTTGGAATGGCATGCTCGCATACAACTACTTCCGGATGTTCGATTATCAGACACACCATCGAGTAAAAGTTGTGGTTAGGTGATGTGACCCAAGCGGCCTGTGAAGCCTGTCCGGCTTTTTGAGAACACGACTAGGACCCTTGTACTGTTTCTCTGTGTACTTGAATTCTTGATGTTACAGTTGTAGTGAAAAGTGGACTTTGGATTTTATAAGTTCGCTGCTTGGTTAGATGTACTGCGGAGTACTAAGTATTAATCAATCTGGTAGTGAGAGTCATACCACGATGTGAATGTTGGTTAGGATATGCACAATATACTCCATAGTACTTGTGCGTTGTAGGAGTTCTGTCGCATTTAGTTCTTTGTCGAATAGTTGCAGTACCGGTAGATTATGTTTACTGTATACATAACCCTGTGACGTACAATTCCCTCATTAAAACAGTTCCACTGTTGTTTTGACCCGAAGCACTGTTTCAATGAGATTTGTAAGGAACTTTGTATGCTAAGGCCACCTCACCTCTTACTAGGGGTTAAGTGCATCTCAGTGGTTAGCGATACTAGCGAAGCAGTTAACCCCGGAGATTTGGCATCGTATGTATTCACCGGGGGTAGGACGGAGTCCCAGGTTACAGGGCTACTGGAGAAATGGTATATCCGGATGTAATAATTCCCTCATTGAAACAGTATTTCGGGTCAAAACAAGAGTGCAACGCTTTTAATGAGGGAATTATTCCCCTGTGGCCCACTGCGTAAGGAATCAGCCCTGATGGTCTGATACCGTCTCAGCAAGAGTTGGAGTTGTTATTTCCAATGCTATAAATTGTATTCATACTGTATAGTCGTCAATGCATACAGACCAAATCTGACCCAAACTTCGTGACTCAACATTCAAAGTGCCTGTACATCCGCTTTGGTTGAGTGATAACTAAAAGAACTGTACATGTAATCACTTTATAGCCAAACTTGATTGTCTCACTGAAATTTATCCGAGTAATAAGCTTTACTAGTAGTACTAGTAATTATTAATAGTTATTATTAATAACGTTACTATTAATATGTAGTAGTACCAAAATGATTACTATAAATAGTTCGTAGCAACAGCGTGGGTGTTGTTTCGAGAGAATCGCTCATTTCCTATGCTATGAATTGGATATTCATGTATTGTCCATGTTTAAAGTCCCAACTTGCTTGAGTAGTCGTGATTTGATGTGACGTCTTGATCTCCAACGTTACCTCGAGGTTCTGCATTGAAGAGTATTGTTCTCAATATACTTCACTAACGTTACTACAAAGTACTAGTACAGACTGTACTACGTAGTAGTAACAACTGCCGACAACACCATCACGCGTTGAAATCCGGGGAGCGGGGCTGGCTGCGCTATGGATTACGTAAAGTTGTGACCACCAACGATGCCTCGAGGTTCTGCATTGAAGAGTATTGTTCTCAATGTTCTCCACAACGAGTACTACGTATCTCATTGAAACAGTGCTTCGGGTCAAAACAACAGTGGAACTGTTTTAATGAGGGAATTGTACGTCACAGGGTTATGTATACAGTAAACATAATCTACCGGTACTGCAACTATTCGACAAAGAACTAAATGCGACAGAACTCCTACAACGCACAAGTACTATGGAGTATATTGTGCATATCCTAACCAACATTCACATCGTGGTATGACTCTCACTACCAGATTGATTAATACTTAGTACTCCGCAGTACATCTAACCAAGCAGCGAACTTATAAAATCCAAAGTCCACTTTTCACTACAACTGTAACATCAAGAATTCAAGTACACAGAGAAACAGTACAAGGGTCCTAGTCGTGTTCTCAAAAAGCCGGACAGGCTTCACAGGCCGCTTGGGTCAGATCACCTAACCTCAAGTCTTACTCGATGGTGTGTCTGATAATCGAACATCCGGAAGTAGTTGTATGAGAGCATGCCAGTCCAAAGCACATCAGCAGGATCTCCACTTTGAACCCCATCACTTCTCAACTTTCCTTCTTTGACCACTACAACATGGTCAAGTTTGCTGTCATTGCTGCCGTTGGTGCATTTGCCACGGCGAAGATTTCCCCCAGCATCCACCGCCACTTGGAGGCCAACCATGACGTGGACGTCGTGGTTGAATTCCGAGACGGCAACCAGCCTGCGTTGCGAGCGGCCAACTTGGAGACGGCTACCATTCAAACCCGTGGCGCCCGCATCGCCCATGTTCGGTCGCTCTTGGAGAGCAACATGGAGACGTCCCAGCGCGCGGCAGTGGAGCTGCTGTCGTCGCAGCCCGAAGCCTTCACGACCCGCGTCGAGAGCTTCTACATCAACGGCAACATGCACGTGTACGGCGCCAACCGCATCGTGCTGGACGAACTCGCCAAGTTGGACAACGTGGCTCACATTCGTCTCCCCGTGGTGGTGGACTTGCCCGTGATCAACGACGAAGACGACAACGTGGTGGGGCTTCCCGTGCTCGACCTCTTGTCCAACTCGACGTCTGTCCAAGCTGCCAACGAATGGGGCGTGAACCTCATCAGCGCCCCTACCGTGTGGGCTGGTGGTAACCGCGGCGAAGGTGTGGTGGTGGGAATTCTGGACACTGGTGCCATCCACACCCACAACGACCTCAAGACCAACTGGCGATCGACCTACGGCTGGTTCGACCCCACCGACAAGTCCCCGACCCCCATCGACACGAACGGCCATGGCACCCACGTCGCGGGTTCATCTGTTGGCCAAAACGGCATCGGGGTAGCCCCCGGAGCCACGTGGATTGCTTGCCGCGGGTGCACCACGAGCACGTGCCCTGAAGCGGCACTCACGGCATGCGCTCAGTTTTTGTTGTGCCCCACTGACGTGACGGGCCAAAACCCCAAGTGCGAGTTGGCGCCTGACGTGATCAACAACAGCTGGGGTGGCGGGTCTGGCTCCAACTGGTACCAAGCCAAC